GGGGAGGGGGTATTTTCGCATTTTGTTCGTGTGCGTGTGTCCGTGCCTGGAAGTCATGGCGACCTCTGGCGACTCCTGCTGGTGCACGGAGGTCATTCAGAGGAGTGGCTTGATAGCCTGCCTCTGGCCTCCCGGCCCTGGTATTCTCTGGAGGTCTCCCATCCAAACACTTGCCAGGGTCGGCCCTGCTTAGCTTCCGAGATCTGACGGGTTCGGGCTAGTCTGGGCTCTCCGGGTCAGGACTCACAAATTTTTGAAGTTGTTCTCTGACGCGTGCCTGCAAGATATAAAGAACTTGGGACACGGAAGGCTGACATCCCAGGACAGGCCAATGGAGGCCACGTGCATGCATTCGTCTCTTATGTGCCCAGGGAAAATGCTGATCGCACCTTTGGGGTCAGGGAGCAATTCTCTGACTCTTGGAGGAATGCCATCTGGGCCTGGTGAAACTGACAAATCAATCAGGCCACTGGCCTGATGTAATAGGGCTTCTCCTAAGTTCTTATGCTCTTTCATAGACAACCTCACAAGGCGGCCATGCTGGTCTGCAGTGGAACAATTAACTCCTGAAAGAACAAGAAGATTTTTTGGGGGGTGGGGGTGGGGGGGGTGTATAAGTTTTCAAGAGGATCTGGCAAAGGCAGCACTGATTCTCAAAAGCTGATACCCCGAAACTCTTGTTGGTCACTAAAGTGCTCCTGGACGCCCATCTGTTTCACCTTCGCTAACCCTGGTTCGTTCTGTGCACGAGAAGACAACAGTAAACCACTGCTGATCACCTCATACCTCGAAAACCCTACGGTGAGACTAGTTCATAGGGTTGCCGTAAGTTGGAAGCGACCCGGCAGCACAAAACACACACACACAGGTCTGTAGTTTATTTCTTTAGATTTCTTGACTGCCCTTCCCTGCTTACGCAGGGCTCAGAGCAGTTTACAACAGAATTCAATACATTATAAGACCAATTACTGTCGAGAGCCAGTGTGGTGTCGTGGTTGAGTGCGTGGACTCTAATCTGGGAGAACCGGGTTTGATTCCCCACTCCTCCACTTGCACTTGGCTGGATGACCTTGGGCAAGCCGTAGTTCTAATAAGAGCTGTTCTTGAAAAAGAGCAGTTTCTGTCAAGAGCTCTCTCACCCCCGCCTACCTCACGGTGTCTGTTGTGGGGAGGGGGAGGGAAAGGCGTTTGTAAGCTGCTCTGAGACTCCTTCGGGTAGTGAAGGGCAGGGTGTAAATCCAGTCTCTTCTTCTTCTACATTATAAAACCAATTAGAACCATAAAAAGTTCTGAGAATGAATTGGTGGCAGTGGTTGACTTATGGCAGCCCTGTAGTGTTTTCAAAGCAAGAGGCGTTCAGAGGCGGTTTGCCACTGTCTTCCTCTGCGTAGTGGACCTTGGATTTCCTTGGTGGTCTCCCATCCAAGTACTAACCGGGACCTACCCTACTTAGCTTCTGAGATCTGACAAGATCAGACTAGCTTGGGCCAACTAGGTCAGGTTGAGAACAATGCTCCCTCTAAGCTGTGGAGCCTTGTGAGCAAAGATTCTACTTGGTGAACTACTGGCATTAAAATTGTGAGCGAGCGATTTGGCTAGTGCGTAAACTCGTTTGCTCTGGAGCCACCCTTCCTGAGCCAAGGCAAAAACGTGTGAGCTGGAGGCTAAAAAACTGTCAGCTAGCTCACTCTAACTCAGCGTAGAGGGAACACAGGTTGAGAATGAATGAGGGTAATTTTAACTATCAACCTGTCATATCTCATTGCTTCTGTGCCTCAGGGAACATGGGAAGGAACATTTAAAAAAAACAGCATTTCCTAAGTTTGTTGCGAGCAAATTTGAATTAGGACCTGCTTGGAAACTTCTCTTGTACCTGAAGATTTCTTCACACAAACACTGAAACGTTCAAGAAGAAGCCAAGAGCAAGCAGGCCCGGTCTCCGAGGACATTAGCAAACTCCTGGCTTAGTCTCTTAACCTCCGTTAATCTCCTGTCACAGAAGCAAGGATAAGTTCTGGGGGTTTTCCTCAAAATACAATATCCTGCCCTGCCTAGGAGACCCTGCTGGATTCCACCGTAAATCCCATGATAAGAAGCGACAGCGTTACAGCCCGGCTCACATTTAATCCCACATCTTCCTCGACACATGAGTGGCGGGAGCCTCGATTCGACTTGCGATGGGAGCCGACGGTTTTTTAAAACGCAGTCTAAACCTGAAGGAGGCGAAGGGTTTTGTTTCAAAGTAAGTCTTTACAGGGCAAAGGTATACAGAGGCCAATGCAAAAACAAGTCTGCAAGGCCAAGCCTTAAATTGCACAAATTACCTTTCAGTAAAAAAAACAAAAACAAATCAAGAGCAATGCACAGCAGTTGTAAGTTGTCGATCGGTACAATGAACTGATGTAAAGCGTGTTTCTACCCCCCCCCCCCCCCGAAAGGGGGGGGGGGGGTGGCCATCAGATGTCACTGTGCCACTAGAAGCTAACACAAATCTGCTGGAGAGTCCGAAGGAGTAATTATGGGCTAGTAACTGAAGCAGGTATTTGTAAAGACTATATATATATAGTCACAAAACCGTTTTAGAAGGAACAACCTTTAAAAGGAATCCACAGCAATGCAGACACATCTACAGGCTCTTTTTGTAGCAGGAACTCCTTTGCATATCAGGCGACACACCCCTAATGTAGCCAATCCTCCAAGAGCTTACAGAGCTCTTCTTACAGGGGCTACTGTAAGCTCTTGGAGGATTGGCTACATTAGGGGTGTGTCACCTAGTATGCAAATGAGTTACTGCTACAAAAAGAGCCCGGCCCCATTCAGGGTAGAACACCTGAGAACCCACGTTCAGCCTCATGGAATGTAATCTTCTCCCTCCTGCCTTTTTGCACATCTTGAGATTCCCGGAAGGCTCATTTGTATACAGATGGTCCTGCCGATATACTGGCTGTTATCCTGGATCCACTTAAGTTCAAAAATATAGCATGCAAGTTTTTGAGTTACACAGTGCTCTTATAGATAGGGACTCTGGGGCAAGTGATGCTCTGTATTCTTGGTGCTTGGGGGGGGCCAACAGTGGGAGGGCTTCTAATGTCCTGGCCCCACTGGTGGACCTCCTGATGGCACCTGGTATTTTTGGCCACTGTGTGACAGTGTTGGACTGGATGGGCCTTTGGCCTGATCCAACAACATTGGCATCTCTTATGTTCTTATGTTCTTACTTTGACTGGATATACTTGAGAAAGGGAGGAAGGGGAACATATGCTACTTGGCCAATCCATACATTCCCAGTAGGGCCAGTATTGCTGCTTGCCAAGAAAAATCCTAAATTAGCTCAGTTTTGACTATTGATAAGTTGTGGAAGGCTTTCACGGCCAGAGTTCATTAGTTGTTGTAGATTTTCTGGGCTGTATGGCCGTGGTCTTGGCATTGTAGGACCTGATACACACAGAAAGATGGAGCACTCTCTGTGTCAAGGTGAGAAGAAAAATGGTAGGCAGGTGATTTATATCTACTAAGGAAGGTGGGGTAGGGCTGAGTCATTATCTTGTAAGAGTTCCCCAGGCTGTGCAACATGCTATTGGAGGAGCTTTCCTGAGGAGGTTCTTTTGCATACGGATTGGCTGTTGAAATTCTAATCTTACCTTGAG